TGCATGGAAGTGAGGCTGTTGGTGGGCAATGCAAAACTTCAGAGAGATCAGTACCTGGTAAAGCTCTCAAGGGTCACACCTTCAAAGAGTTTGCAGCGAGGGCCATTGTTGAGTGCCAGAACACCTGTGAAAGAGACCCCAGGTGTGCGAGTTACAATTTCTACATCCCTGGCAAAGTGTGTGAGCTTAACAGCCATACCAAAGAGGAGAAACCTGATCATTTTGTGACGGATGAACTGAGATTCTACGTGAAACGTGAAGGTATGAACTACGTAAAACTTTGTACACCAAACACACTTTCAATTGGATTCCTCGATTCTCTTTATTAGTTTGTCCAGCTGGCAGGGCTAAACTTGAGTGCAATACCGGGCCGAGTTTTCACGAGGTTTTACGAGATACGTAGTTCCAAAACGAAACTAGTTAGATTCATGAGCCGATATACATGCTGTCAGTAGCATATCGAAAGAAAGTCGTTCTTGTATTCTGCAGATCGATGGCGTACTTGATTAAGAAATAACTCACATGTTCCTTATGCTGTCTGATTTATATATCTTTAGATGAAGATGAGTGCTTGAAGACGCCACCAGTTTGTGACGTCAAGGCAAACTGCAAGAACACGCTTGGCTCCTACCTATGTTCTTGTAAAGAGGGTTTTACGGGTGACGGTAATACCTGTCAAGGTAAATGATCAGAAAAACATTGATTGAACGAAAACGTTAGTAACAAGTGTGTCCTTTTTATTGCCATTATTTGAAATGGTTTGCTGAGTCGGCGCAGGAACGCAGTGGTATCACCTTTTTGTTCTCTGTTGTTTTATTTTTAACAATTTGACCATAATTGAGGCTAGTGGGACTTCGTTTGTCGCGGGCTGCACACTTTATAAAACAGGCGGACGTTAGTCAAAAGAAATAACCATTAACAATTTCGCTTTTCATTGCCGCTGTCGCAGCTTCAACCCATCTTTGTGTCGTTTGTCGCCATTTTTCTGCCCTCTGTCGCTTTTTCAAGGCCATTTCGCTTCAGTGTCGAAATTTAGTCCAACAGGGCCTCAAGAAAATGGCTAAAACAAGTGTAATCAACGGAAACGCACGTAAGGGTGGGGCTACACAAAACACCACTGTAGTATGGGCCTGATGGGTTAAAAGTTTGAAAACAAAAAAAAAGGAGTGTAAAAATAAGACGATACCTTTAATGTTTTGTATGCGCCTAATAAGCCTGCATTGCCAGAAAAACTGCGTACGGACTAGTGGTTAAAGCCTTTTTCTCGCCACTTTCATTTAGTCTCTAAAGTAAGAGAAAGTTAGCAATACAAGTACGAATCTACCGTAAACCACGCTAAGCACTCAGGGTGAGCTCTGTCGAAATAATTCTGATGCGTGCGTTTTCATGGTAAGTTAAACGATAGAACTCAATGAAGCTTAGAGTGCGAACTTCAAATCGAGAGTCGAACTCGAACTCGAATGCGGCGAAAAGGATTAGGTAATTATTTGTGCGTTTTCATATTAAGGATCGCTTCGATAAAACTGAAAGGAAGAAATCAAAATCGGGGTGGAACTCGAACGGGGCGGACTCAAAAGGGGGGAAACCGGCAGATTCCTTTACGTTCATCCAGAGATTAATAAAGGAGGTATACAGAGGAAACACATTTCCTTTTATTGGGTAGGTAGTGAAGGACATAACGAGCAAACCATCAGTTTTTTCATAAAATGGTGTGTCTTCTGGCTTAGCCACCTTCCTTATTGTCGCACGCAATCAAAGAAAACTGTAATTTATCATCAAAATGATTTTCTACGAAAGATCTCAACAGACGATTGAAGGAATCATTCAGAAGAAAAATTATCTTCTTCTAAATAGGTCAATGCATTTTATTTACTATTTTGCAGACATCGACGAGTGTGAGACAGAAAAGCATCACTGCGACTCCAATGCTTTCTGTAACAACACTAAAGGCTCTTACATTTGTACATGCAAACCAGGATATAACGGAAACGGCGTTAACTGCACAGGTAAGATAAGGAAACGAAAACCGTCGGCTGAAAGCATAACCTGAAACCATTTCTATTTAACGAACGTTTTCGAGTTCCATTAAGGTGTATGTTACATCTTTAGGGGTTCTTTAAAATAGTAAAAATATGAAAGAATCTGATAGGCTGCTTGTGAAAGGCTCCCTTGTCAGAGTTTGGGGTGCATTAATGCGGCGGTGCCGTCAGCTGGTGCCGTTGAAACCAGCGATAAGAATAGTGCGATTTCACAGTATTTTCAAGTTTACTGCACAATCAGTAAATTAGTGGTGAGGAGAGAAGAATACCAGAACAATACTATAGATTCACTTTGTTTTAAATCGCTGGTTAAAAATTAAGTGGACCGCTAGAGCCTGTGTGTGTGGGGGGGGGGGGGGGGGGGNCTGCACCCGTCGCACCCCCCATCCCTACGGGCCTGATCTAGGGTCTTTTAAAACAGTTCAACATGAAAGGGCTCGTTGTCATCCTGGTAGCAGGCAAACTTGTGCGAGTTTGGGGTTATTATGGCTCGAACCGGCGAAGCCGATGAAAAGAATGGGGTAATTCTCCAGGTCTATACTTAACGTTTTAAGAATATTAGACTGTAAAACAGTCCGTATTTTTGCGTATTCAAGTACGCGCGAGCAGTCAAAAATAAGGTCTGGAAAAAGGCTGAAAACAGAGAGCGAGACTAGGGAGAGACGCTAAAAATACTCGCTTAACACGCCCGTAGGGCGTGTGAGGCTCGCCCGCTTCACGCGTGCAAGACTCTTACGCCACGCTTTACCGATTTCCGATTTTGAGAAAAAAAACGACTGTTTTGCAGTCTATAAGAATATTTGTATATTCGACAAACAATCATTAGCCCGATACGCAGTTTTCGTAACAGCTTTTCTGGGTGTTTATTGGTCGGTTGCAGAAATTATTACTGAGGTTGGCTCTAGCCATTTGATGGGCTCCTGCTCTAGCCTGAGTATCAGGCCTTATTCTATAGGGGTTGCCGGAGAGGAGATTTAATTTTTAAGCGAATGAATGGGAATGATATCTGGGGAGGGGAAAGGGAGGGGAAAGGGAGGCAAAAGGAGATAAAGAATCATTAAAAAAAATATGATAAACCTAAAATTGTCGGTTCCGCCACACTTGAAATTCATTAAGACATGCTAATTGCCACGTGAATTTTTAAGTAATTTAAATCATTCTTTAATAGTTTCAGAATTTATGACTGACTCGCAGATTTTGAATAGCAGTAATTACTATTTTCATCATTTGGGCAATTTTCTGGAGACTGCAGTTGGGAACAATTCTCACTGGATGTTGTGCTGGCGTGCTACATTGCATGGCTGGAATGTCGGTCAGTTTCACAGTCGCTGCGATGGAAAGAACGACACTGTTACCATCATAAGGAAAGGCAAATTCATCTTTGGCGGATACACGGATATTCCTTGGGGTAAAAAAAAACTAATTCCCTTATTTTATCCTCTTTTTTTACTTCAATGTAACAGCTTTACAATTCTGATCTACTTGCACTGCTTATTAGAATTTAACTCCTTTTTTATAAGGTTGAAACGTCACTCTTGGTTTGTCACCTTGTAATGATGGTCAAGTGTTTTTGTGTAATGAACCTAGTTACCTTAGCTTTGCCAGCGTGGGTCTTAACGTCAATAGGTCTGGTCGCCCTTATTTTTAATTCAAACTGAAGACAAGGAAACGAATTTTTTTTCTTGAGCGAGCCATGCTTAACTCAAGGTCTCGCTGAATTCCACCCATCCCCAGCAACTTTCGTTAAGGCTTCGATCCATCTGTGATGACAATAAGGTTTCCTTCAAGGGATGTGAAGTTTCTTCCTTCCTTTGCGCGTGAGTTGTGATAGGCCTGTGAATTGAATCTGACAAACATTGGATTGCACAGACTTGCAGATCGTGCCATTTCAAACGCAAAGAAGCTAAATGTAGTGATGCCGGTGAAAGCATCAAATTTTTGTTACGGCAGCTACCGACCCGTTACAGTGTGTGTCAAGGATGTGTCCCGCCTAAGAGAATATGCACAGCGAAACCATATATTTTTTATACGGACAGTCAGTAAAGCCTGGCCAAGTGTCCTTGTCGTGGTGGGCCAACAGGATTGTCCGTAATAAAACGGAGTCCGCATGTCCGTATGTCTAGTATCGATCCAATGGTTCTCATTTACACGTAGAGCAGAATCAGTTTATTACTATTCTGAGAAATCTCCAGTTATTAAGTTTGGTAACCTCATAAGTTATCTCACCACTAAGAAATAATTGCGTTAAAAGTGGAACGCTTGCTAAAAAAACCTGAATCCTTCGGTTGACTCCCCGATCATTCAATAGGGCTATTGCCAGTTACCTTTACCTCAATTGTATTAATAGATATTAGTTTAAATAAGAAGGCAAAAGCAAAGTGAACTCTGGTGGCTATTGAAAAATGACGTCATTTTTAATCGTGATGATGGGCTAATATGGTCAGTAATAAAATTAATTCAAACTTGAAATTCATTTTTTTTATTGAAGCAAACCTGAAAGCATATATGACAATTTATTATTATTGTTATTATTATTATTATTATTATTATTATTTTATTTATTTTACGCTCTTTTGGTTTCTCAGAATCCAGTGGTGGCTATATCGCTACTTCCGAAGCGTTTATTTTTTCGCTGAACAATAATGAAGGCTTGGCACCGTTTGTGAGCAAGGTGAAGAAAGAATACTCAGGAAAGGCAATTTACAGTGGGTCATATTATGGTCCACGTTTTGGCCTGGATGTCTTCATTAAAGATAATGCCGACAGTAACGACAAGTCATTAGCACGTTTGGGCTATCGCTACTCTGCTCCACCTGCAGTGCAGGACCGGGACACAGTCCTGGCCGGGACTGAGTACTTCTCACCTAATGAGGTGGAGGTATTCTATCTTGACCCATCCCGCTAAATACAAGATAACACAAACTATCATATTTATTGCTATTAAATCTGAGAGAGAAGCAATGGGAAGTTTAATATAACTCAGTTTAAACTTCTTATTAATTGCTGTTTAAATTATTGATTTTTTTTTTTGTTTTGTTTGCTTTTTAGTTTTTTTAGAATCCCTCAGTATATATTCAATTGTCTGAAATCTGCTGTTAGAATAGTTTGCCTATAGTTTGTTTTAGGATTTTAATATAGCTAACTATTTAGGGCCGGTAAAGGCTTGGGATTTAGCAATACGTACTACAAGGTAAATCTCTTGCTAAAGCAACTTTCGCCAGCCATTTTAAAAGGCAGCATGCACTGCTCATCACACAAACATTTTTAAAATTAGTTACCCGAACGATTGCAGCGTTATTTTTACTTATTTCATGATTCACACCTTTTATTTTGTTATTCAACAACCTTTCTTTAACGTACAAACCTCTTGAATATTCAACAAACTGAAAGTCCTGGAAGGGCTTGAACGTAGCAGGGAAGAGCGGGGACAAATGGCCACCGCGTGACAAAGGTCGATAAGAGCGTTAGGGAAACCAATTGTGCTATCCAGTGAATAGTGATTTAACTGGTGGATAGCGTTGTCCACCTTTTGAACAACTGGGGCCTGAAGAAGATATAAAACAAATTTCATTTTAAAAAAATTAAAACTTTTTACACTTGAAAAAGTCGGCCCAATTTCTTCAATTTTTTATCCATATGTCCATCCTTGCCATTCTTAACAACAGAGAACAGGGAAACAGTTTCATTGCCAATAATAAAGTCTTAAACCACGAAACTGAACCATGACTATTTGAAATTACATGTTTTAACTCTTGAAAAAGATTGAAAAGAGCATGACATTGGCCCTTTAAATTGAACTGGGCTATGAAAACAACTAAGCGCGTAGTTTTTGTAAAAAATAAGCAGTGCTTTTTTGTTGTAACCGATTATTGGTTCGTCTTCTAACAGTTAATCATGATCCATTTCATCGAAAAAAAAAATGGTATAGCCTTTTGGGGTTGAAAAATGCGGATAAATCATTCATGTTATCAGTCCACTTATAAACTTACTGCAGGACCCCACAACCCCGAGTCCTGCTCACTGAAATAGGGCTTCACTCCTCCTCTCCCCACCCCTTCCCCCCACCCACTCTTTTTCGGCGTTAAGACAACCTAGACCTTTTATCCTCTACAATTATTGTACATCGAGGGAGGATAAAAAGATGTCGATGTATTTTAAGCTCGATGTCTGTATAGGTAATTAAGTTTGTGTGTATTAATAGGAGTTAAAGCAAGGGTTAAATAGTTAGGGACGCTATACCTGACCTTCTCCTTAAGGGACGAAGACCAAACGCAGAGCCTGTGTCTAAAGGTTGAATTGTTTATACTCAAAGTTAATAGCGTTCACTTTACAGGGAGTGGGTATAGTGTTCTTTAGATTAAAGTGACATTTCATGTAGTTTTTAAAGAGAAGTTTTGTGCGTAAGATCAGGCAACACGTTTTCTCTTCTTCTTTTCGCTTTAAGCTGATCAAGACATTTCAGAACACCATATGGCAAGAGATAAAAACAAGCGCTCGCTGATACCAGTCAGTCATTATTTATTTGATTTCTGGAAAGAAGAGTTACGCGACGAGTTACGGAAAGGGAGGCATTAAGCCGATCCCGTATACCAATGTAATTTTGTTTTTAGATCTCACTCTGTCTTCCCCTGACAGAGATCTGAGCACTAAATTAATCACACACCCTACTCTGGGTCTCGCCGAAAACACATGAATATTGACTGAATATGAGTATAGGACAGAAGCATTTTCCCTAGCTTGGATTCCGGCAGATCGATGAGGATACTGATTTTGTCGTTTAGGAGGGTGGTACTGCGTAAAGTAGGGTGGTACAGCTCGAGGTAGATCGCTTCATTTCGACCCTGCTGTTTAACTAGTTTCCTAACCTAACCCTAACTCTTTAAGCCCCACGATCCACATACAAATTATCCAGACTGATCTCCATACATTTCTTTTAAAAATAGTTGAGAGAATTTGGTTTAAGATCAAGGCGTTCTCCCTTTGGTGATCAATTTAGTAATTCTCATAACTTTTACTGTTGATGATCTGCTGATGTTGTTAGGAGAAAATTGATGTTGGTCACTCTTGAGACCTAAAAGGTTAATAAGAACAGAATCAAAGAGAAAACAGGAGGGTTATTGTGTTGGTAATGAATGTCTTATTTACTCAGTTTATCGCATGTTGTACTTTATGGATCATATAAGTTGCATTCTTAGAATAGATTGAGTATAATCTAGCTGGATTTTTGAAAGCTAGCGAACTAAATTGCAGCCTCTTGATTGAAGAAAGCCAAAACTCAAGTTTCTTGATTCTTGCCTCTGATAAAAAGGCAGAAAATCACGCTAAGAAAGGAAAAGAAGCGGGAATTCCGAAAATAGAGGGGAGGGGGAGAAAGGAAGGCGGAGAAGAGAAAAGACAATGGTTGCACTCTTAGTTTTTATATCGGCTACTTATTTGGAGATGCGGTAGTTTTTGAAACAAAAAAACTGGCGAAACGACACTAATGAGGACTTTTGGGTCTTTCAAAAATCTAGCTAGAGAATAGACTGAAGTATTTTAAGAGTTCCTCTGTAGAATAGCCAAAAACTTTAATAGCATTGTTTTATAGTAGATAGATTATGTAATGGTCTCAGTGAGCTTTCGACCTCGGCTGTGATAGTCATCTAGGACGATTAAGAGTTTGGTTCTTCGCGTTGTTTTTGAAACATAGTCAAAACACTACTTATTTCGAGCGGTTGACACACCTTCTTTGCTTGATGACGTCACAATCCGAGGTTTTCAAAAGCGACAAAATTTGTTTTTAATTACAAGCTCATCTCTTGGGGTGTAAGTGTAATGATTTTAAATTTGTAGCCGTGCAGTTAATAAACGTTGAGATGATCCAAGTTTGTGTGTGGTAATTGATGAAAACCCATGGGAAAAAAAAAAAGAGGCAACACCTTCTTTCAGGAAGTTTCCATTGAAACGATTTCCATCATAAAAAGGGTGAAGCTATTAAGTTTAACCCAAACTCTAAACGCTATGACCGCTGAATTAAAGAAGTGAAGACGCATTTTTTAAAGCCTTAGCCTCAATCTGAAGTAATATATTCACAAATTCCAACGGGAAAAAGACACGTTTATTACTCTGTCTATTGCGTATATTCAAATTTCAAACACTGCCATAATTTCTGAATATTTTACTTTACGTCGAGGCTAACCCTGTATGAATGTGTCGTTAATGTTTATATTCAGCGGTAATTTTTAATTCGAAACTGGACTATTAAGCAGGTGGCACCTAATTTTCAATATAAATTAGCAAAGCTGCTGGACCTTTTCACTATTAAACGATCTGTCAAAAATTTTGGCAACAAGTTCTTCTCAATGACTCTGTTATGCTAATCCATAGCTAACACTTTGGCATTTGGTGTTAAAACAACTCACTTTTTTCCACCACTCAATTTACGTAAACAACGTTGTTTTTGCTAAACTTTCGCATGCTTTAACTAAAAGTTACTTAGAAACAATAATTATTTGAGAGTATTTGATTAAGAAAACTCTTTAAAATATTCTGATCGGACACTTTTCAGGGGCACCCAGCGAGAACATAGTTCAAAACCACTTAAGCATAGCATTGTTAATCGTGTTTTAGCATTTAAACGGTAGATATAGGCATATTTTTATTCCCTCAAAATTTTCATCTGTTCGGATTTCCTAGCTGAAAGTCTATTGATCCGAAAATCATAGGGATCAAAACTTAATTACCTTTTCGAAAATTTCAGCCAGAAAAAAGGCTCCCGAAAATTCTAGGTGACCTCTTTAGAGTAAAAATCCGTTAAAAATGGGCAATTATACCATTTTTTGGATGCTCGAAAATCCTAGGAGAGGCAGGCAAGAAAGAAATTTTACAACAAATGTTCCGGAAATTCTAGATCTCAAATCGTCTTCCGAACAGATATTTTCCGAAAATTGACGTTGGGTGCCCCTGACTTTTTCTTAGTTAGTGCTCTGTCTTTCTATATCACAACAGTGAATATCTGTCTTTACCGTGTTAACCCGGTAACCTTTGTCACATCAAGTTGCTATAAAAGCTCCTTCCCGTTCACCTGTTTGTCGAAATGTTTAATTTCAACTAGCCTGTACACAGACGTTTATTTAATTTTTCTTTTCGTTCTTTTCGAAAACATACCCCCTTGCGCTGGCCGTCAATAAATCCCCTGCGGTTTATATTTTATCACCCGCGCTCGACGGACTTTGAAGAGAAAATAGAGGGCACGATCTGTGAATAGGCTCAATTTCAACTGAAGTCTATTGGCATTCAGTTTAATACTCATTGCCGTCTGACGATTTTATTTTTTACTCGTTGTTGGTAAATTTGTCAAATTACTGCAAATAGAAAACTATGATCTCCCTGGGTATAACTAATGCCCCTTAAGGCCTGTTTCCTTAGAAAATGACAATGGCGGAGATCAAAGCCATTAAAAGCGAAATCTCATATATAACTGGGAAAGAGATTTAGATAACTAAAGATTATTATCGCAAACCCTTTGAAGTGTGATGGAAATATTACAACTTGTGACAGCTAAGTTTATTACAAAGTGTGAGGGACAAGCAGATATTCTTTTTTTACAAAGTGTGACAAGGTGTATTACAAATTGCGACAAGTATCACAATTACAAATCGGCGGCCGGGCATTACAAAGTGTGATGGATTTATCAAAAATTACCACAGGTAGGATAAAGTGCGATGATTATCACAAATTGCGACATTACACGACAGTACACCCTGCGGATGAAAACCGCGCGGAAAAACTGCAGAGATAAATAAAATGAATTACTCACTCATTTTCTACTTCGTCGTTGGCACAGTTTTCGCAGCCGAAAAAGAATCTAGATCTGCCTACATCAAAATGCGGGAGAACAAGCGTTTACATGGCTATGTTGTCAAG